GTATAAAATATTAAAAGTAAAAATATTACCAAAAAATGTATATAGCAGGAGTTGAGGAGGGCCAACAAGCCCACCAACTGCAAGATAGAGCAGGTGGGAAAGTTTCCTGTCTCCACATTATTCTGCCAACTAACCCAGAAGCGTGTGCAAGGGCAGGGAAAAGTGCAAGGGAACAAGGACAGGAACAAGCACAGCAGAGGAATCAGAAAGATGGAGGCCACGGTGTTCTCAGATTAATGTTTGGGGCAAATTGTTTTCTCTAACAAAGGCATTCAGTTGAGGGCTATGTTGTTCCAAGACTCTGAGGCTCAGGCACAGTAACCTGGAAGCCCGAGTCTGCTGCAGGGTCTAGGTACTGCTTCAGAGCAGTCACTGGACATGCGGGAAGGCAGCACCTTAGGGAGAAGCTGCTGTCAAAGCGAGGCACGTGGGTGGACAGGGAGAAGGAACCCAGAGGCAACAATCCGTCAGCTGGAGATGAGGAACACTTGACATAAGAGGATTAGAAGAATTCGAAAGGGGAAATTTGAAGCAATGTTTTCCTCTACGGAGTGGGCAGTTTCAGTGGCTGTTCACAGGAGCCCACAGACATGAAGAATATGCTAATATCAAAGTCTAGATGCTAATCCCCTACTCGAACTTTTCCTCTGGGCACAGTGAACTGGCACTTCCAATGGGTGTGCCCACTGGGTAGTTCTGAAGGGTGCGAGGAAAGCCCCAACGTGGGAGGCGCGTCCTGGATCAGCTTCTCCGGCTCTTACCTTTTTCTATGGTCCTGGTGAGGGGCGGGGACACTGGCGTCACGTGCAAGTTCACTTCTCTGCTGCATCTCCCGATGGCTGCCGTGCTGGGAGCAGTCTTTGTGCACTGCATGGAGCAGGGATGGGCTGGCCGTGTGAGGAAGGGGCTGCTGAAGACAGCACATGGCCAGCGGGCAGTCTGCAACCCCAAAGTGTCCCAAATAGTGGTCCCTCACCTGTCACAGTCAGAGTGTCTATGTGGCCAATTAACAGGACAGAAAAGCAAGGTATGGAATGAACTGCTTGTCCTAGGAATTACTGGATGTTTTGGAATTAACACAACTGAGGGTGCGGTGGTGAAAAACCCATCTCGATAACTGCTGAAATGTCTAATGCTGTGTGGGTCAGCTGGCAGAAAAGATTTCAGTGTTCTCAAAAATTCTCTTTTAGGGGTTGAGCCAAAGGTGATGCTGGCGCAAGTTAGAATGCCCGGGCAGAGAGCCACACTACTTCCGCTGAGAAAAGTACGAATAGCACCCAGGCAATGTGGACTTCCCTAGTAGAGAAGGCCATACAATAAGCTGTTAATCATATAGCAGGATATAATAAAGCCACTGTCTGGCCAAACACTGTTGCCATAAATATATCTGAGTTGGCCTAGACATATATATTAGGCCAGTGACTGACTTTTTGCCTTTCCAGACAGAGATGAGTGAATAGGCACCCCAGAGGACTAATTTCACGAGGACCCAAACCTGATAGGAAATGAGCTCAAGGAAAGTGGGCTGTAATCTCAGATGGAAGGCCTTCAAACAGCAGTCATTCTGCTGGAGGAACAGCTCCTGGACCTGTCACTGAGATGAATGAGACTCTGAAACTCGCTGCAGGTCTTGGCCCTGGTTCAACTGCATTCATTAAAAATAAACAAAACAACCAACTCAGCTTAGAAACGTGTTTCTCAGGTATTCACGGTAAGGGGATAGTCATTAGGACTTCCAGGTTATATGGACAGTAGTGAAGGCAGACGTCTACAGGAGTGAGCATGGTTTTTCAGCTTTATTGTGGAATTTGGGGTTGCCAGCCATGTGAGGCTGCGTGTGGACACACGGCACAGACAATCCCAAGTAACTTCTTGACATGCTGCTTCACATGCAGCCTAATAGGGGACAAAGTATGAGGTGCTGATCACCTAACAGGAGATGCTGGCCCACATCTAATAAAAGATGGAAGCTGAATTTAGATTACTTGGGCTTTGAAGCTGCTGGAAGCTTCCAAGTCTACGTTGCAACCAAGAGTCCGCTGAGTTCTACCATGATATAGAATATCCTCTTCTTACTTGGAGCTTGGGTACAGCATCCTGAAGGGCCAGCAGGTTGCCCGGCTTGATGTACAGCACTCCCACAAGCCAGGGACCTGCTACTTTGTTTTCAAGAATGGTAATTTACTTATTCTCCCACCTTCGTTGTGCAGCATGTTCCAGTTTGCAGTAGTGCTGACTCTTCCATCCCCTGTGGAAAGGGGGGGAGTGCCTCCACAGGCTGTGTGTGTGAAGGCGCACAGATGTCATTTTATCTCTGTGGTTTCAACGGAAAGCACTGAAGGACCGAAGATGTGACTAAACTGTACCTGCAGGACTAGTGTATCACCCAAACTTTTGGGCACGGACATGGTCTGTGCCAGATAACGTCAATGGTGCTACTGACCACTTTTTGACCCGCGGGATCACTCAACACGTTGCTTACCACTGTCAGAATTAAGTCTTTAAGTAGTGGAATGCCCTGATGGAAGAGAGGAAATGACCACTTCCAAATGCAAAGCAGAAATTCAAAACTCTCTGCTTTCCTATGAACACAGAATCAAGACCTTAAGAAACTTAGACAAAAGCAAGGCAAGGGCCAGGATTCTGCAGTTTAAGGATCTGGGAGTAGCAAGAACACTAAATATACTCTAATGTAGTGGACACAGAGCACTGTCCAGACAAGGGAAAGAGACTGGGTCAGAGTATTCTGAGAACTGGCCTTGGGGCTCTCATCTCATGTCAACCTCACATAGGGAAAGGGCAAGTCAAAGAAGGGGAGGTGGCCTGGAACGCCACGAGGCAGGTGGGAGCATCGCACAGCTGAGCAAGCCCTGACCGGTGCGTGTAGAGTAACTACAGTGCAGAACTATTGAGGGTAATGGCCACATAGGCCAACCCCCTACTTTAGAGGTCATACCAGGGTCAGAGCCAAGCAGAGCCCAGAGGAGCTAGGTAACCCAGGAATGTTGATCAAATGTTGCCTCCCAGATAGAGATTTCAAGTTGTGAAAGCTAGATTTGGGTGCACTATCCAGAATCATGGATGATGTCTGAGATCAGATCACCACACTCCCCAAGGACAAATGGGGGGCAAAACAAGTGACCCGGTGCTGACAGTTAGGAGTTGCTCAGTCAGAAGAGCATCACACCAGTCAACCAAACCATCCCAGAAGGACAACACAGGTAGTATGCGAGTGGACAGACAGATCAGAGAGATCTGACAAAAGATGGTTTGAAGCAAAAGGTGAGAAGTATAATTTAGATAATTCCTGGGCTGTTGCATGGTGACTGCACTTTCTTTACACTAGGTGTCAGGAGTGTGGGTGGAGAGAACTAAGGGCTCCATTAAAGATGGCAACTCTCTTATATAAGAGAATCCAGTAGAGTAAAATGCTTGTAGGCCATTTGACTTTTTGTTCCTTTCCTTTCAACCTTAATTTTTACAATTTCATAGTTTCTCTTAATAGTTAAAATGTAATTTGATATGCCAATTTTTATGTTGTCAATGAAGCTCCATTTTGGTTCTTATACTTGGTAATTCAGACTAATCAAACAGTACTGAGATTCATTTGAGGCAGCACTAAAGAATGAGAAGTATTTGACATTCTTAAATTCTCAAAACCCGCAAGACTGTGAAACTTGACTCTCAGTAAATAAAATGACTATCTTGATGTAAGCTTTCATAGTTATTCTCTACAATGGGTCCTCTTATGTTCAATAATTAATTTATTCAGTCTCAAAGCTCTTCCATATAAACCGCATTTGTATCACTTTTCTCCAATATGATGCCTCTGATGCTGAATGAGGTTTGCAGTCTGGTTAAAAGCTTTCCCACATTTATTACATTTATAGGGTTTCTCTCCTGTGTGAATCCTCTGATGTTGAGTGAGGTGTGTGCTTCGGATAAAGGCCTTCCCACAGATTCTACATTTGTAAGGTTTTTCTCTAGTATGAATTCTCTTGTGTTGGGTAAGGGCTGAATGGTCACTGAAGGCTTTTTCACATATATTACACATATAAGGTTTCTCCCCAGTATGAATTCTCTGATGTTGGGCTAGGGCTGATTGGTCCCTGAAGGCTTTCTCACACAAACCACATCTGTAAGGTTTCTCTCCAGTGTGAATTTTCCGATGTCGTGCAAAGGATGAGTTATCCCTGAAAGCTTTCCCACATTCATTACATTTATAAGGTTTCTCTCCAGTATGAATTCTCTGATGTTCAGTAAGGGAAGAGTTCACCCTGAAGGCCTTTCCACATTCATTACATTCAAAGGGTTTCTCTCCAGTGTGAATTCTCTGATGCTGAAGAAAACTTGTACTCTGATTAAAGGCTTTCCCGCATTCACTACATTTATAGGGTTTATCTCCACTGTGAATATTCTGGTGTTTGGTAAGATGTGCCCTGCACACAAAGGCTTTTTCACAAATGTTACATTTAAAAGGTTTTTCTCCAGTATGTATTCTATGATGATGGGCAAGGTGTATGTTTCGGATAAAAGCTTTTCCACATAAGTTGCACTCAAAAGGCTTCTCTCCAGTATGAATTTTCTGATGGTAAGTAAGGGAGGAGCTCACTGAGAAGGCCTTGCCGCATTCCTTGCATTCATAGGGTTTCTCACCAGTGTGAATTCTTTGGTGATGGATGAGGTGTGTGCTCTGGTGAAAGGCTTTCCCACATTCTCGACATTCATATCGTTTCTCTTTAATATGAGTTTTCTGATTTGTGTTTTGTTCAGTATGAATTTTCTGATGTTTATTAAGAGTTGAACTCTTGGAGAAGACTTTTCCACACTCACTGCACTCAAAGGCTTTTTTGCTAGGTTGAAATCCCGGACTTTGAAAAAGAGAGGAGCTCATGGTGCAGCCCTTCCCAGATCTATCACATTCCTGTTCACTGATCCCAGATGGGGTGTTCTGGTGAGTGAGTACCACTTGCTGCAAACTGGTCTCCTGGTCTCCACATTGCCATTCCAACAAGCCGGCACATGTCCAGGCACTATCTCTACTGAATCTTTCCTTTATTGTCCACTGATCCAATTCTTCTTCAGGGATCCCTGCCTTGAGAGTAGATTTCTTACTCACAGGCACAGTCATCCAGTCTGAAAGACATTAAAAAATAAAAATGTCTGTTTTATGCTAATAAAACATCTAGATGGGATTTGACGATAAGCCTGTTAATAACACTAACAAAGAGGTGGCAGTTTTGAAGATTTCTTGACGTGAAGACAAGAAAGTAAAGGGGAAGAGAAGTGAACAAAGGACTGCAGCAATGGTTGATCTAATGTATACTGCATAAAGCAGGAGCACTTGGAAGCATGATCTCAGAAGTCACAGGCTTGACTTAGAATCCTGAGTACAACACTTATTTTCTTTGTGATCATAGAGAAGCTACTTGCCTTTCTAAGCCTCAAAAAAACAAAAACAAAAAAACTTGATACACACCACACTATGCTAACAGATAAGAAAAAACATGTACCCTTTCTATTCTAGTGATATGGTCTTTAAGACAACCCAGATGTGGCCTTAAGAAACCATTGAAACTAGAGGTCAGCACTTGGTAGGGAAAAAACCCTCAACTCAAAAGTAACTACTAAAACCAACATTTTTATGTTTTATAGACTCATTTGAGCATTCAGATGGACAATAAAAAGCTAGGCTGTGTGATATGCTCATATCTACTAATAAAATAAGGACCTCCTATTGCTATGAGGAAGCAATGTCTCCAAACCCATATGAATAATGTGACAGCTATATGAGGAAAATGTATCATGAGGACATACAAATGGGAATAGAAGACTAGGAACAAAGCAGCTTATCTGCCAGGATATATCCAGTATGTCTAGCAAGGAGAGGTTGTAAATCTGGGGAAAGGAGTATACTGGTCTCAAGAAAGGGGACTTTGCTGCTGGGACAGGAGCCACGGTCCCATGAATTATCTGACAAAATGATTCCTCTTCCCAAACAAAAATTCCACACTTACTCAACAACTTTCTCACTTGATTTCATGGGTACCTTGATATTACCAAGCAGAATTCTGGATTGCATGTTAGTTTTCCGTACATACTTGTGAATATCTTCCTTTTAACTAAAGTCATTAAAGTCTATTTGAGACTTTCTAAGAACCGTAATACTACAGACTAGATTCTAAACAAAGATGATAGAAAAGTTCCTCAGAAATCCTATCAAGAACAAGCCTTCCTTATCAGTTTCCTTTCCCACTCACTCCAGAAAATCTTCTACAAAGAGCTACAAAAAAAAAAGCCAAAAACCTTTTTACTTATCTGGAAAGGTAAACAAGTACATTTTACAGCTAAAATCTTGTTGCGTTCAGAATAATATATCCTTGCTCTAAACAAAGGATGGTCACAGTTAAACATCAGCATTGCCAAATCTCAAAATATTAAGGACTAACTTTCACTTCTGGCCAAAATAGAGTAGCCAGTTCTACAGAACAGTTAGAAAATCTACATTGAAAAAAGGTATCTGTCTGAAGATATGAGATGTTACCTGAAGCAGACTTGATAGTCTGACATTTGGGAGCAAAGTTAAGTGGAAATACAAATTTTCTATAGTTTCTTGTTACTATGGAGCTAAAAATTGAAGTTCAGGGCCTTCCAAAGAGGAGGGGTCACGGTAAACATGTGAAGCTATCCATCGGGACCCCCACAGTGCCACAACCTAGTAGTAAGGGCAAACAAGAGGTTGACAAAGCTTAATAAACACTGTGACCCAACTTCCAGCTATTACAGTGCCTAGTTGGATTAAGATGGTTTTCTTAGACTCTAGCTACCTACCAGAGGAAAAGGCAAATCTTCTATGGAGGAAAATAACATCCAGAGCCTCTGTACTCCTCCACAAATAATGTCAGGGATTCAATCAACATATACGAGAAGCGCTAAGAAATTGCATGCAGAGGAAAAACAGACAACAGAAAAAGAACCATAGAACCCAGATACCAGAGTTATTAATAGCATATGTGGACTTCAAAATAACTGTGACTAATGTTTGATAAAACAGAAAAGAGTAGAATTACAACAGATAATTAGAACAAAAGAATGAAATAAAAATTCTAGAACTAAAAAATGCAATAATCGAAGTTATGAACTAGATTTTTAACGGTATACTAAACATAGTGGAAGAGAGAAACAGTGAACTAGAAAAATATATAATCAGAAAATATCCATAGTAAAACATGGAGAAAAAAATTAAAAAGAGACATATGGGACATGGTGAAAAAGTCAAATATGTGTGTGACTGGAGTTATAAAATGGGAGGAGGAAAATAATGTGGCAAAAACATTACTTGAAAAGAGAGAGGCTGAAAAATGAAATTTGAGAAGCATTATAAACTCCAAGTGGGATAAATACAAAGAAAAATCACCTAGGCACATCATAGTATAACTACTGGAACCAAAGAATGTCTTGAAAGTTGCTTGAAAAAAATACATTACCTTTAAAATAGCAAAAGTAAAACTAATGGTGTCTTTTAAATGAAAACAGTAGAATCCAGAAGATGATTAAATAATTTCTAAGCTGTTGAAATAACCTAATTGCCAAACTAGAATTCAACAGAAACAGAAAATATCTCTAAAAAGGTAAATATGAAATGGTTATTTCCATGCAAATAAAACCAGAGATTGTATCACCCAGCAGACCAGTATTAACAAAAAAACAGGAGTATTCTAGGCAGAATAAAAATAATTCCAAGTGGAAATATGGCAATGTTAGAAGGAATGAAAAGCAATGGAAAAAGTACATATGTGGATAAATAAAAATATTCTTAATTGTACAAAACAATAATTTTAATGTCTTGAGGGACTGAACATGTAAGTAGAATTAAAATACATCGCAAAAATACATAACAAAAAGAAAACAAAAGGTGAAAGGAAGAAATGCTGTTAATGTTTTTAGGTACTAATATTATCTGGGAATAATTAAAAGTAGAAATTTATTTTGGACAGTAATTCTTATTTTATATATACTTATTATATTATAAACTTATATACTTGTTTTACTTATTAGACTTACCACTAAAAGACCAAAGAAGGTAAATTACAAGGGTGAAAATGGCACAATAATAATAATTAATCCAAGAGAAGGCAAGAAAAAAAGACAAAAAGATTTAAAATAGATGAGTAAGGACGATTAAGAAATCACTGGAGGGCCGGGCGCGGTGGCTCACGCCTGTAATCCTAGCACTCTGGGAGGTTGATGCGGGTGGATTGTTTGAGCTCAGGAGTTCGAGACCAGCCTGAGCAAGAGCGAGACCCCGTCTCTACTAAAAATTAGAAAGAAATTAATCGGACAACTAAAAACATATAGAAAAAATTAGCCGGGCATGGTGGCATATGCCTGTAGTCCCAGCTACTCAGGAGGCTGAGGCAGAAGGATCGCTTGAGCCCAGGAGTTTGAGGTTGCTGTGAGCTAGGCTGACGCCACGGCACTCTAGCCCGGGCAACAGAGTGAGACCCTGTCTCAAAAAATAAATAAATAAATAAATAAATAAAATAAAATAGATGAGTAAAATAGAAAATAAATAACAAGACAGACATCAGATCCCACACATATTAGTAACCGATCTAAATCAAATTAAAAAACTAAGCTTTTGAGACTGGAAAAAAAAAAAAACGTGACTAAATGCCACCTAGAAAAGAAATACCAAAAATATAGACAGTGAAATATTGAAAATGAATGAAAAATAATATATCCCATAAAAGAAAGCCGGTATTATCCATACTAACATCAAACAAATCATACAATATTAGAGAAAATCGACTTCAAGGTATTTCATATTGACAAAAGGGCCAATTCTCCAGGAACGTATAATAAATTTCCATTTGTATGCACATAACTTCAAAATGTATAAAAGTAAAAAGTGAGAGAATAAAAAGGAAAAATAGGCAAATCAATATGCCACTCTCAAGGACTCAGAAATCAAAATATTAAGAAAAGGGACAATCTCAACAACCCAATAAACAAATTTAACCTAACTTATATACTTAGAACTTTATACTGAATAAGGACAGAATATACATTATTTTTAAGTGCACAAAGACCATTTACCAAAACTGACCAGACACTGGGCATTAGAAAATATTTTGAAATAATTAATACAAATATGAATTAGAACTTATAGTATGCAGCTAAACCACATTTATTAGGAAATATACATATATGCATCAATTATCAATCTCAAGAAATTAGAAAAATACCAAATTAAACCCAATGGAGACAGAAAGAAATAATAAAGAAAATAGAATTTAATAAAAAAAAAATGGATGGTCCTCTAGCAAGACAAATCAAGATAAGAGAGAAGCACATATTATCAACATCAAGAATATTAAAGGTGACATCAGGACAGACTCCACAGAGATTTATAAGATATTAAAAACATACTGAGGAAACTTTATATCAATAAATTTGACAGTTTAGATGAAAGACTCAAATTTCTAGAAAGGTAGAATGTACCAAAACTGACAGAAGAAGAAACAGAAAATCTAAATGATCCTGTATCTAATGAATACATTGAATCTCTAATTTAAAACTTTCTCACAAAGAAATTTTCAGGCAACTGTTGCCTCACTGTGAATTCTTCCAAACATTTAAAGAAGAATCTAAAACACCAATCTTACACAATCTCTTCCAGAGAACTAAAAATAAGGAACATTTCCAACTGGTTTTATAAAGCTAGCATATCCTATCAGAATATGATGAGGACATTAAAAATGTTAAAATTGTAGGCCATTTTCTCTCATGAACAGATGCAAAATCCCTAAACAAAATATTAGCAAAAAGAATACAGTGACATAAAAAAGAATAACACATCACAAATTAAGTTGAAATTCAAAGTTGTTCTCACATTTCAATTGCTCAATGTCATTCACATTAACAAAATTAAGGAGAAAAAAAATCACATTATAATTTCAACAGATGCTGAAGACATCAGACTTCAACATCCAGTCATGATAAAAACTCATAGTAGGCCAGGTGCGGTGGCAGACGCCTGTAATCCTAGCACTCTGGGAGGTTGATGCGGGTGGATTGTTTGAGCTCAGGAGTTCGAGACCAGCCTGAGCGAGAGCAAGACCCCGTCTCTACTA